TCTTCCTCAGAACTGTTCTGAGGAAGGGTCACCGGACCCGAAACGTTAACTCTGTTTTCTCCTCCACAGATGCTGCCAGACCTGCTGAGCTTTTCCAGCAACTTTGTTTTTGTTCCTGATTTACAGCATCCGCAGTTCTTTTGGTTTTTATTTAGAAGTAAAGAGGGGTTAAGAAAGGAGACTGACAACTAACATAAATGTGAACCTTTAAGTCTTCTATAGGCACATAAACAGTAAAAGGGTGGTGAAAGTAGAGCCAATTAAAAGCTAAAAAGAGATTTACACATTAGAACCAGGGGGCATAGCTGAAATACTAATAAATACTGTTCATCTGTCTTTACCGAGAAAGCAGATTTAAAAACAGGCTACGGTGGCAGAAGAGGAAACTCAGTCATTTGAAGTTTTAAAATTGATAATGAAGAGATATTGGATAAGCTGTTTGTAGTTAAAGTTGACAAGGACCCAATAAGATGCTTCCAAAGATACTGAAGTAAGCGAGAGTGGATAATGAAGATGCATTGGTCATAATCTTGCAGTTTTCCCTGAATTCAGGTATAGTGTCAAAGGATTAGAGAATTATAAACATTGTGCCCATCCTGAAAAAATGTTGTAAGGATAAACCCAGAAATTACAAACCAGTTAATTTTTACTTAGGAGTAGGGAAACACCTAGAAATAATAATTCTGGAGAGAATTAACAGTCACACAGACAAATGTGCATTAATTAGGAGAGCCAGCATGGACTTCTTAAGGGAAAACCACATTTAACTAATTTGCTGGAATGCTTTAAAAAGATAAAACAGGGGACTGATAATGGTAATGCTGTTGATGTACTGTACATGGATTTCCAAAAGATGTCCAATACTACGCCACACATCAAACTTGTGAAAAATGTTATAGCATGTGGAATAAAAGGATCAACACCAATGTGGAAAAAAGATTGTCTGAGAGATAAGAATCAGAGGGTATTGGTTAGTGGATATTTTTCAGGCTGGCAGAGTGTTTGTACGGGAATTCCAGCAGGGTGGGTACAGAGAATCTTGGTTTTCAAGATTTATATTAGTGATTTAGATCTTGGAGTGTAGAGGACAATTTCAAAGTTTGCAGATGATACAAAACTTGAGAGAATTGTAAACTGTGAGGAAGGTAGTGTATAATTTCAAAAGATGGAGTGGCAGATAGGTAATAAATGAAGTTCAATGCAGAGAAGGTGTGAGGTGATAACATTTTGATAGAAAGAACATGGAGAGTCAGTAAAAACTAAAGGTTACTACTCTAAAGGGTGTGCAGGAGCAGAGACCCCTGAGTGTATATGTGCATTAGTCATTAAAGGTAGCAGGATAGGTGAATCGCATGGTTAATAAAGTGGAGCAGGGAGGTTTTATTGAACCTGTATTAGACACTAGTTAGACCTCAGATAGAGTATTGTGTACAGTTCTGGGTGCTACACTTAGGAAGGTTGTGAATGGCACAGATAGAATACAGGAGAGGTTATAAGAATGATTCCCAAGGATGAGAAACTCCTGTTATGAAGATAGTTTGGAGAAGTTGGGAATGTTCTGCATTGGAAGTTGAGTTAGGAATTGGGAGAAAAGAAGGCTTAAAGTCTTGAGAGGTCTGGACAGAATAAACAGGGAAAAAGTGTCTGGAATGCACTAGCTAGAAGTGTGGTAGAGGTTAGTTAACAAAGACATTCAAGAGGGCTTCGGATGATTACTTAAATAGAAAAAATATACAGGGGGTTACAGGGAAAGGCAGGAGAATGGCACCAAGTCATGATGCTCATTCAAAGAGGGACTGCAGTCACAATGGGCTGAATGAACTGTGTAGCAATTCTGTGATTCTTTGATCAAAGCATATGGAGATGGTGCGGAAAGGTGACATTGAAGTGAAAGATAGCCATGTCTGAATTGAAAGACAGAGCAGGTTTAATGGGTTGAATAGCCAACTCCTGTTTCTACATTCTAAATACTACAATAATTGAAAACCATCAATCTCATTGTTGTATACACAATGGCTTCAACATCTCCCTATCTATGTTTTAATAACTTTCCTTAAATCTCTGACTTTTGCACATTTTTCCAGTTTTATAAAATTGGTAGCCATTCTGCTGTCTACCATTACTCCTCCTTTGGCAACTCCCATCTTCTCTCCATTCTCTCGCTACCATTAAGATATTCCATAAAGCTCATGTCTTTGACTAGGCTTTTCATTTACTGCCTCCATTCCCACCATCCCATCCCAATATCTCCTATTTTACCTTAGCATTTTTTTTTATTATTATGCCTTTGTGAAGCACTTTGGGTTATTTATCTAGCTTGAGAATAAATATGTGGTTGTTGCTGGACTGATTCCTACTAATTTCATAGCCTTTGTGGGAAATACTATCAGTTCCATTTTCCCTCTGGTGGAGAGAGGTCATGACAAAAAAATATTCGTGGTTCATAAATTTAAGAATGCAAGAAAATAAATGGTGAGATTTTAAAACAATGATTATGGAAAGTAAACATTCCAGTGACTTAATATAGTTGTGCACCAGTGTGCTGTTGCCACTATATATCAGGAAGTGAATATGTGGTTTTCTACATGGCAAGTTCCTAGCCACAACTTGGATCCATGTTTGGTAAGCAGATAGTAGAGGAAAGACACTAAGCAGTATAGTAAGTTTTTCTAAGAGAAGAAACGGACAATTGGTCAAACACTGACCAACTTTCTGGTAAACCAATCAAAATTTAAAACTATAGTTTGAATGTCACAATGAGATTCTGAAAAGGAGTTTAATGTTTCCTGCATTCACCTCAACACTATTTGACCAAACCATTTAAAGTGAGCCTTTAAAATTAAGAGTTTCCAGTGCTGAAAAAGAATATTGCATAAATATAGTCCAGTTGTAATGAAGTCTAACCCATTAACAAAAGCAGTAGCAAGCTTTCCTCCTCATCAGAGTCATAAAGTCATAGAGTCATAGAGATGTACAGCAGGGAAATAGACCCTTCAGTCCAACTTGTCCATGCTGACAGAATATCCTAAATTAATCTAGTCCCATTCACCAGCATTCGGCCCATGTCCCTGTAAACCCTTTCTATTCATATACCCATGCATGCTGTAATTGTACCAGCCTCCACCACTTCCTCTGGCATCTCATTCCATTCATGCAGCACCCTCTCTGTGATAAAATTGTCCCTTGGGTCACTTTTAAACTTTCCCCCCTCATCTTAAACCTATGCCCTCTAGTTTTGGACTCCCCCATCCCAGAGAAAAAACCTTGTCAATTCACCATATCCATGCCCCTCATGATTTTATAAACCTCTATAAGGTCACCTGTCAGCCTCCGATGCTCCAGGGAAAATACCCCCAGCCTATTCAGTCTTTCCCTATAACTCAAACCCTCCAAACCTGGCAACATCTTTGTAAATCTTTTCTGAACCATTTCAAGTTTCACAACATCCTTCCTATAGCAGGGAAACCAGAATTGCATGCAGTATTCCAATAGTGGCCTAACCAATTGAAATGTTGCAAAGTCTCTGTGCTCCAATCCATTTACTTTGGGCGATTGAGGGTTCTCAGATGAAGTACTACTTGATGTACAGTGCTAAATGTGAAGGGGAGGGCTTTAGCCCCTCTTTTAATCCTACTTTGTCAGCCACACTTGAGCAACATTAAGATATATCACAAAAGTGTCACATGATGCAAGGCATTAGCTTGTTCTTCCTATACAATATGTGAATACAGTTTGTACATAGGTGGAAACAGAAAGATACAAACTGAACTTAAGCTAAAGTCTAATGCCCTTTGAAACCTCCATAATGCATTCAAGTGTATTCGGAAAGCAGGGTTTATGGCAAGCTAAACAAGTCATCTGAAATAATTCACCCTCTCCTAGATGCTTAAAGATTTTCATTACTCTGATATGATACTTGATCGTCCAATATTAATTTATTAATTAAATTACATACTTAATTAGGTGTGCTCTGTTATGCAATAAGACACACCTAGCAGCCAATCACATTTCAGGAAATCAACCATGGCATTATATAATGAATGCTTAGATATGGCAGATACATTGACAAAGATCAGAATAAAATATATTTGTTATACATCACTATTACCTTTACAACTCTTAGTCCATCAAGCTTGTATCACTACTTTAGCCCCAAAGGTAAAAGAACATTATAATTCCTCAGTGAAACTCTCACTAATCAACACAGCCTGGTATCTAAGAGTATTCCACATATACTCACTATACTGCCTTCAAGGGGGTGAATTAAGTTAAAGCCCCTTATGATAGTTGTCTCAATTGGTACCATCAAACCTGAATCATACAGTTTGTAAGTGCAGTGCATTGGAGCCAGACTGCTCATCAAGGGTTGATGGGCAACTGGATGTGTGATTTGCCTGCCTTTATTATTTTTAAAGGGAATGGCCAAAAAAATTGGAATCCATGTGACCTTTGGATAATGCCAGCAACTAAGGATGGGCATGTTAAGGAATCTGGCCTTTGCTGCCAAATGCAATTACCATATCCCTACAGGCTAGGATGATATTGCTGACACAATCTACAAAAACTGCAGGACCCAAGACAGAAGTTCCCTAAGGTTTTATGGACAACAAAATGGGATGCTTGTAAAAAGGAAGCACGTCATTTTCAACAGTGTCTAGACAAATGCAAAGCAAAATAAACATCAAAATTAAAATTCAGTATAATATGTCACAACAGCATCTCACATAATAGTTAACCTCAACTGCCAAAGACTTAAACTCTGGAACTTCCCCCCAATCCTCTTCAGCTCTCCAACTCACTCTCTTTCTTTAAGATGTTCCTTAAAATGCATTCTTTACCTTAGCGACTGGTCACCGGCCCAAACACCTTCTTCTGTCATCAGAACCAAATTGGTTTGATAATTCTCCTGCTCAGTAACTGGGGAAATCTTACTAAGTTAAAGGCACTATATAAATGCAAATTGTTGTTCCAGTGGAATATCAATGAGATAGTGACTGTGACCCAACACAATTGGCAGATCAACATCCCAGGCGTGGGTTTCATCCAGAACAGCTAAGTTCATGAACTGTCCATCATGCTCACTATTATCTTTCCTGGACTGTTGAATGGTTTAATATCTGAAGTGCCTGATGATTAAAAATCATTTGAAAGATATACAAGCAGTCAAAGCAGTAGGACGCATAACAATTACAACAGGAACCTAGCTGCTTTTTTCTAGACTAATTTCCAAAGCAGTTTAAATTTTTCATTGCCTGGATTGTAAGTCTGGTTGACAATATTGATTTAAAATAAATCAGGGCTGCAGTTTGTGTGCCTATACTCTGCCCAGGTTTTGGGAACTAATATTTTCAATGGTACAGTTTTCATTGTAAGTTCCTGCCATTTGAATGCCAAGTTAACATGGATGACATGTTAGCTTTCTACCAACTTTAATCCCTGCAGGTAAAGGACATTACCAATCTCAATTTGAACACAGGCAAATGGACAGGGGCATCACAAATCTAGCAATTCCTTTCACATGTCACTGAAAATGTGACTGCCTGTGACCCTTAAATGTTACTTTTACCAAGTGACTACAGTAGAAATGGTTGCTTGAACAATTCAAACTAATGCACCATAGAGTTGCAGTTGTTCAGAGCCAATATTCAGAAAGGCTGTTAAATACATAGACCTAAAATATCACAAGAATCTTTAGCATTCCCTCTAAGGCTATGGAAAAGTCACACACTTCTCATCCAAAAGAAAACATTTTTCAGTATAACTATGTTAAGAGTAATTATTATGAAATCGGATTTTTAAAAAGTTAATTCCATTACTCAACATTTTTAAGAGTTTCCCAATTTCCTAGTAACTGTAATACCTAAAAGGAACGCTGATCCTGATAACACTTTACCATGAATACAGGCCCAGATATTTTACTACCAAAATCCATTTTAAAATTGCAGTCTTTTAGTAATAAATTATACAACAGCAACAGTTAAGGATGTCTTACTTTTGAGATGCAGAATAAGCCAGGTACCCAGTATTAACATTGAACCGTAAGACTGCATCTGATAGAACTGGATATGAAAGAGACAAGGTAATTTCCGAAGACCCAACTTTATCTTTAATCCATGAGGGGAAAAGGTGGAGAAGAGGAAGAAAGCCATAAAACAAGCAGTCAGAAGAGTGATACTCAATATAATGAGTGGTGTTCATAGTGTTACAATAATTTGGGCACAAAAGAGATTGTCACTTTCAAAACAGAGGGGTTACTGGAATCCTTTTATATCCATGCACCTTTACATTAACTCACATGAACTTACCACAGGTTCATAGCGGCCACTGGCATTTTTACACTTACAAAGCCTAAAGCTTCCGAAATGCCTATCTGGCCTGTACATATTTCATTAAAAATAAACTCTATATAATAAATAAATATATAAAATAAATATAATGTTGCCTTTGGAATTTCTATAAATAAATTTAACTTTTCTTTTTTTTTTTACTAAGAGGTCTTTGCTTAAAGCCCTATGGGGTAGTACCATTGATCTGGTAGATGAATTGTCTTTTTTAAATCATTTTTAAAGTACGATTGCATCCTCCATGCCATTATAAATGCAGCGTGGGCTTGTGCATGTCACCAGCCAGTATCCTGATGAATCAAAGTATGGCAGCTATGCTGATACACAACGAAATAGAACTGATCAAAAAAATTTAAAGCGTGTCCCATCTTGGAGCATGCATCAGGCCAACTTTCTCCTCGGCATTTCATTATATTCCTCCCTCTTACACATTTTTTTTTCTCAACCAAGCAAGTGGGCACAGGCTCACCTCTGGGAGGACAAACTGTAAGTGCAGAACAAAATCAGCGTGTCCCATCCAAGCCTCCATACACAATGCATGCGACAAAGTTTGGCAACAGTAGAGCTGATGTGATGACACAGCTAATCATTTAGAACCCACCACATGAACCAATATAGTGGTTGCTTTTCAGTGGTCCAAACTTAAGGATTGTCTTCATCAACTTTGGCTTAATACATCCTTGTATAATTCAGGTACTTTGTCAGGGTCCACTGGTCTCGGTAAAAAATGTGTGAATTTTTGGTGCCTTTTAGTCCTAGTCCCTTCCCTTGGGGTTCCATCTTTATTTAACGCGACAAAGTACCGTCTTCCAGTGTCCGCATGCTTATATACATTTGATGAGTAGGTATTGTACCAGTTTTCCTCAAACTGTTCCCGGAAAACACACTCTGCAGTCAATTTCTCCTGCAAAAAATTGGAATCAAAATATTATTTCTGAAGCTGAAGTTTAAAAATAATTGAATCAAATATTGTTTACAATCAATGCTCATTAACTGGATGGATTAGTGTAGTTTATTCAAGTACACTCCCAGGATGGTGTCTTGGGGATGTGGATCACTCAATCATTGTAGAACCCACCAGATTTTCATCTTATTGAAATAAAAGGTGATCAAATCTGTTGGGTCCTACATTGCATGGGGAATTTATTCTGTCAGGTTACCACACAAAAGGCAAGTACAAACTAAACAACTTAATCTGTAAATAGAAAAAGGTTATAACATTTTACATTCAAATATATTCTCCAAAACTGCACCTTCAAACTATTTCAGACAACAGGAACAAGCTAAAGAAGCACTATGCATTATCTTACTTTGATTTATTTACAAATTGTATAGTCCAGCTGCTCTTGCCTTTTTCCATAGAGAGTGGAGTGACAGATACCATCATAAGTATGCTAATCTCTCTCTCTCTATCTCCGGGCAGCATATGTTATAAGATCATGCTGAAGCTGAATGAGAACATGATACTGCAAATTGTAAAATTGCTTAGCCTGGCCACAATGAAAAACAGAAGTCAAGGCAATATTGGCAGTAGAATAATTGTATTAATAACTTTTTATTTCATATAATGCTAATTAAATAAATACAAATATTTTATCTCGAGGAAAAATTGATACCTGAACAAAATAACTTGTACTTGAAGGTCAATTATTATGAAAGGAATATATCCATCAACAGTGTCCATCACTTTATTCACCTATTGTATTCACTGAACTGTCTTTCTTGGATCTAAGGTGGAAATTGTAACTCAATCACATGCAGAAAGTCAGAATCTCTACTGTAATATTAGCTATCATCACATTTTACAGGGGCAAAAGGTGACTGCACTCACAGCCCTGCTGTCCAAGGGCATCTCAAAAATGTCCAATTCTATATTGGACTCAGATAATTTTCTAAAGCAAGCACTAGGTCCCATGATTGTGCTAATAAGAGTCAATGACACTGTTAGCATTCCTCAGGGAAACTGGGCTTCTCTCAGCTGAGTCAGCATCAATCATTTTTATTTTGATATGGATGAGGTTTAATAAGTGGTCCCAAACAGAAAAGTAATTAAAATAAGAAATCTGCAAGTTCACAAAAGAGTGTAACAGGCTCTACTTTTTAATACTTTAGACACATTGAAATGTAGCATCTGAATTGTAATGAATTACATAATGAATTACTTGTATTACATAAGATTATATACATGGGCTTTTTTTTACAATATTGAGGAGTTGATAACTGAAAAAGTATTACAAGAGTTGGAATTTAATGTAAGTTTAGAGGTGGAGACCATTTAATTGGACTAGAAAGTGCTGGGTAGGAATCCCACTTCCTTCCTGCCTCTTCACCAATTAAGTCTGGGGTGAACAGACTCATGGTTGTCCTTCTGTGATTAATGCCCACTTAAGGGATTCACTCTGTAGTTACTTATTCAACAGACATGCTCGGGACAGCCATCACATGGGGAGCAGCAAAAGTCTAGAAATCTTTGTTGTGTTTGCTTGAGGAATTGGGAGAACGAGATTTGCATTGTTAGGTTGTTAAAATTCTCAATGCCTGATCGAGAGAGCTGGCCCCTTGGGGGTGGGTTTGGCATTGCTGCCATCTACTGCCTTTTCTTCTTATACCACTGGCCAGCTGTTCAGTGAGCCCTTCCCCATGACCCTAATCCTATCACACATTCACTCATCTGTCGCCTGGGGTCACTGTCTGATTTTGGGTGTCCGGTGGGTGTACTGCTAGCAATTGCCACTGCTACCCATGGGAGACCTGTTGGCTTCTGATTGGCCAGCAGGTCTCAGGAGGTGGGATTTCAGGAAAATGTGACCGTTGGCTACTTTAATACCGAGGGCCTTCACAAAGGAGGCAATGTGGGCGTTTCACCGGTTCTCCAGCTGACAGGGAAGATCCCATCACTTGGGTTAAATTCTTTCTGGGGTGTGACCGTGCTGTTTACAAGATGTGAGTGTTATGTGTAACACTTGCTGGTCTAGGGTAACACAGTCATTTTTAGAAGGTGCATTATATAATGCAATATGGTAGAGTCTACAGGTCACACGATGAAATTACTAGCTATCCCAAAGCTCATCAATTTGAGGGGAAGCAAGTCATCCTTGATCCCAAGCGACTGTAGAAGAGAGATTAATCATGTTACTTCAGAATAATTATCTGTTGCTAAGGTAGATCTATGTATCTCTATTGCCTGCCTCCAGGCAACCAAATTGCCCCTGTTGAGGCAGGAAACTGGAGGCTGAGTGGAAAAGTTTCTGTCAGTCTCCTGTCAATACCCTTAACAAAGCTGTTAATGAGCCTAATGGACTGGTCACGTTGTAATGAAGGCAGCTCAGCTGGACAACAACCTACCTCCCCTTAAAATAGCTGGCACCAGAAATAGGATCTTTGGCTTTGCTGGTATTTGTAGGCCTAATCTCAGCAGAAAATCTTGCACTAGCTTTTAGGCTATGAATTAAAAAGGTGTATTATACAGAAGGCTGCTGTTATTAATTGATGTTTCACAGCGAATAGCACAATGAAATGTTCAGAACCTCACCTCTCAGACCTATCAGCACCTCAGACTCATATTTGTAATATAGGTGTCACAGTTGGAATCCCATTTCCCAACTTTTAGCAATTTAATCATGATTCTTCAGCTTTGTAATTTAGGAGCTGACAAGAAGAGACGGAAATACTAGTTTATGGAGCCAATTGATGTTAATTTCACAACTGCTACTTGAGAGCTTTTATTAAATAAAAGTGGGTTCATTGATTGTGTTACTGATGGTAAGGAATTATTAGAGGTGCGTAACAATTAGAATTTGATTATAGATGAGATTTAGACTGGGGTTTGACAGTAGGAAATCCCCAAACAACAGAGGACATGTAGGAAAACATCAAAGCAGCAAGGCACAACTCAGCTTGTTAAACAGACATGCTATAGTTACGAATAGATGTTTTTTATTTGCTGTAAAGAAATGAATGTGTATCAGAACATAGTTGCTATTTTTTGATAAAAAGATATTCCTGAATCAGTTATCTTTAAAATACATAGCTAAATGTGCTTTGTTCAACTAGATTTATAGGCAGTAAATATTTTTTGCAAGCCAGTTACATCACACTTAACCTCTTGCTTGGGACTCTTTGCCACATTTCTTGCCGAATTTCATTTCTCAAAAGCAAACAATAGCAGGGATGATGGAAGCTAATGCTTTGTGTTGGAATGACATGTTTCAAGCCACAGATAGTGAAAATTAGCATTACTGGTAAGTAATAAGTAATATAAAATTAACTCAAAATATAGCAGCCCATAGATTCACAGATCAATTCTGTGCTTCGTATAAAACTGAACTATAAAATATGGCCTGACTCAATAACCAGTGCTGAGTTGGTTGGTCTCAGCTGAGTAAACTGTAGAGTGCCTTAATTGATCACAGCAGTCCAATGCTTGGAAGAGGAAAAATCTACTAAGATACACACTCATGCAAGTTACATATATATGAATTTGGAACAGAGACAGGATGGTGTATTGGTCCAGAGATTTCCCAATAATTCTATAGCCCTTAATTCCAGAGGATGTGGGAATTTGCCCACTCATCTATCAGTGACATCCAGCCAAACAGTGTAAATCACATTTAGGCCAGTTTTCCGAGCATTGCTGGCTCTACTTAAGTCAAAACGGATATTCATGAGAATTCAAGCTTGATGATCAGCCTCCCCAGGTTCAATTTCACACATTTAGCTGGCTGCATGAAGATCTAGATGGCATCTGGTGTCGGTGGAACTTCACCCCTAGAAAGAATCATTGTTTTAAGGAAAGGGAGAAAATTGAGCTGAAAAAATTATGCCAAATATGTCACAGTAAAGTGTTCATTTTAGGCCTGTGCATTTGGTTATGGATCTAACATTTACAGATTTGACAACTATTATACTTTTAATACTGCAAAGCAATGTATGTTAAATAGAACAGCCGACACTTTGTAGAACCTCAATTACAAAGAATATTTGAAAACCACAAATCTGAACTACTGAGGAAGAGCACAGACCAAGAAAATTTTGGATTTACAAATTTTAGATAAGATATCTTACAGAGGTACAAAAATGCAAAAAAGGATACATCTGGAATACTACATTAGATAATGAGAGTAAGACAAAGACTATGTAGGTTCAAATTAGAATAAGGCAAATTGATGTCAAGTAGTTATTCAGCACAAAGAATGACTCATAGATGGAATGAACCTCCAGATTGAATAATGGAGATGAAAACTTTACAGTCATTGAGGAAATAGTAGTCTAGATGTGCAGGTTGGCAGGTTCCACACACCACCTAGATCTTCATATATTGGTTCCATGTAAGAATTTTATGGATGAGCAAAATATGAAGACCCAAATACACTCTGTCTCTACATATATGTGACTGAGCAAGACATTCTAAAAGTAACATCTGAAATTCTTCTAACTAATGCTATAGTACATTCCCCCAAAATACATGAATCCAAATCAATGCTCATAACTATACCCTGCTTGTTCTGAAGAGAAATGTCTTATTAGCTCAGTTAGGTCATGTAATGTGTAGCTTTTTCTCAGCTTATTCATTCATTCATTGCTATCTCATCATATCCCTGGAGAGGTTTGTTCTTGATTAACTGATTTGTTTTTTTGCTTCATTGTAAAACAGAGGTCAAGTGCTGTGTGCTTGCTTGTAGCTCCACAGGAAACATGAGACTAATTTAAATCAAGTTTTTGTACTCTCTGCAGGGAACTGAATCACATGACAAGTGGCATGGAAGAAATTCTCGCTGGAAATACACATCTCAGTTTTTATGGAAACACAATCTGCTGGATTTCAGTATTGGAAGAAAACGTTCCAAGTGAATATGAACTAATTTATTCTCATAATGTACACATGCATGCTTGTTTGTGGAAACA